AGAGGGGCTGGACAAAGGAAGGGTTTGACTCTGGGTTCAAGTACTGAATTGCTCACGTATTACCTATACAACCATAAGCAAGTTAGAATGATCAATATGATCTCATTTTTGTTGAAAACCAAATGTATTAACTAGAAAGAGAATCAGCCTCATTTTTACAGTGATTATCTAGTGGTGTGATTACAGATGATTTTAAATGATATTTCGTGTTTTTCTATTTTTTTATGGTGTTTTCTTGAAACAGTATGAATTAAATATAACTAGGAAAACAAACAAGCCCACAAAGCTATCTCCACTTTGAAAACAGATTTTGGGAAGGGACTTTTACAATTAATATCTATACATTTGAAAGCAGAAGGCCACAGGGTTTTAGTATTCTGGCTTCCTTTTCCTGGCCTTTTGACAACCAGTGGTTTGCTGCAGACAGCCCTGAGTTAGACCAGGGCTGGGCACAGGTACTTTGCACACTGGTATGAAAAATTGACATTGGTCTGGCCGACTTGTCTGGGTCAGTAGTTATTTCTACTGATACAGTCTAGGAGGTAGCTGTTCATTTCTCTTCCTGGGCAACCACGCTATCTGCCAGCTTAGCAAACCTCTAGTCTTGCTGGTGCTGCCTTCCTCCTTTTAGACCAAGGTACTTCCACTGAGGTCTCTCTGCACTCCTAGATCCAGCCAGCCATGCCCCTCAGCCAGAAGGGGAATAAATAGAGTGACTTCAGCTAGTTTCCTGCATCACACTGGGCATCCCTGATGTCTGGGCCCTTCATCTGACCCTTGTTGTAGACTGTCTTCTCTTACCATTGTCTATTTGTTGTTAATTTTTCTGCTATACAACATAAACCAGTTGCCATTGAGTCTGGTAATCTGGTGATCCAATTTATGCTGACGCCATGTGTGCTCCACAGAATTTTCATTGGCTGATTTTTTGTAAGTATCTTTCTTCTCGGGCACTTCGGGGTGGAACCAACATTTTGGTTAGCAGCTAAACATTTTAGCCATCTGTACCTCCCAGGGACTTATATATGCATACATGAATACATCCAAAGGTATTGCTGCTAGGGTTCCAGTTCATACATGCACAGGTTCATTCCAAACAAAACATGTTTTGACATGTCTCCATGATCGGTGAATGGCTACAGACAAGTTTTTTCAGTAATACACTTGTCTTAGTCTTGTTAGGTTGTCTTCAAAAACAAGGTCCAATCAGAACAATTACTTCTGAGAGGATGTGCTGGGCCAGGTCAAGTCAAGGCAGAGATACCAGTTCAGAAGGTTATAGCAACTGTTATTTTGGATCCCTAAGGGGTAATCTTGATAGATTTTTTTCAAAGGAAACAAGACAATCATGGGGGCTTATAATGAAGACATTTTAAGAAAACTGAAAACTACATTGGTGAGAAAAATGCCAGGAAGTGGCACTGAGGCATTTTTTCCATCAGGGCGGTGCACCTGCTCATTCTTCTGGGCTGTCCCATGAGAATTTTGTTGGGAAACCTTACTCCATCTACTCTGTGGCCCTGATCCTGTCACTTCAGACTACTGTTTGTTTCTAAAACTCAAAGGACATTTAGAAGGGACACGATTTGAGACCCTCAAGCCTTCGAAAACTGTCATTTTGACATGATGTAAATCAAAGAGCATGGAATTGTTTGGGGGAAGTGTTGTTGTTGTTAAATGAGTCGGTTCTGACTCATAGTGACCTTGTATAGGTTTTCTGAGGAGCAGCTGGTGAGTTTGAACTGCCAACCTTGAGGCTGAAACCAACCTTGCGGTCCAGTGCATTATCCTACAGTGCCACACCAGAAGGGCTAGAGAGATACAAACACTGTTTTTAGAAGTTTTTTTTTAAAGCTTTTATTCTGAATTGAGTGATAGTTTACATGGGAGAACATCGGTTTTGCGCTCATCCTATCATATTTCATTTCATTGCAATGATTACAATCCCCTCCCTTGCATCATCATTCAACAGTATTTGCCTTCTATTCCCTCTGTTTTCTTTTTGATGTACACAAAAACACTAGGGAATATATAATAATTTAAACAACCCAAGGGCACATTCTGCAGGCCTGCCTCTTGGCCACCTGTGCACAGCTTTCTCTTTCCATGAGTCTAGAGTTCTCAGCTGTTTTCTCTCTCCGTGTCCTCATCTCTGCCTCCTCCTCATCTCTGGTGTTGCTGCTTCTGTGGATAGGGTCCACATTCTGATTGTGTTCTTCTCCCTTAATGGTCCTAGGGTCCTTTGTTCCTGAAATGTTAGATTAACTACACCCCACTTTATGTTACAAAATGTCTACCTTTACCATTGTGACAATTGCAATTAGTCATGATAACAGTTACTCACTATTGAATTTTAAGAATCTATCCCCATCTCCTTTCACCAGACCCATCTAGATAAGATGAAACTTATTCAATGGGGATTCTGCCTTTCCCTGCATACTCTGAAACTAAACTCCCTCTTGAAAACTTGTAAGCCAGCCATTTCATGCCTTTATAGCCCCCTGTTTTAGGTAGCCACTGTCTAAGTTGCCTGACTCTATCAACCCTGTGTACAGAGGGGATAAGTTTGATCTTTGATGTGAAGATTCTTTCCCTCTCAGTTGGTATTTTGAGCTATTACAACCATAAGTATAAGTCAATTTCACCAAATTGTAGCAATTTATACATGTTTCCTTTATCAAATTTCTTTCTCTTTCTCTATTTGAGTTCTGATTATCAAGCCATCGAAGCTAGGTCATATGGGTACTATCTGCAATATGGGTATTGGGCATTTTTGTGTATCTCCCCTCACTTCATATCATGTTTTTATAAGTTTGCAGTCCTATATGTAGGCTACATCAAGGAACAATTAACTTCACTTTTTACTATTTTTGTTTAATAAGTGTTTCAATTATTTTATAATAGTACTTTTTGATTTACCTTCATACAAATTACAGTACAGCTTTCATACAATAAAACATATGTACAAAATATTTAGAGTATGGCTCAACCATTTTTCACACAGTATGTTTGTTTATATCAGTATAACCCACTCAGATAAAGACATTGAACATTTCCATTATTCTATTCTTTCTTGTCCTTTCCAAATCAGTATTACCTTTCAAAGGTGACACTATAATGACGTCTACCACCCTAGGTTCCTTTTTCATGTGTTCCTTTATATACTCTCTTGTGTCTGGTTTCCCTCACTCCTCATTATGTATTAGCTACCTACCATTCCAAAATTTTGTGGCTTAAAATACTAGCAGTTCATTATTTTGCTCACTAATCTTCAATTTGGACAGGGCCCAAAGAGAGTGCTTTGTCTCTGTTCCATGTGGTACCAGCAAGAACAGATTGACTGGGACCTGGAAGATCCGTTTCAGATAGTTCACTCACATGGTGGGCAAGCTGGTGCTACCTGGTAGCTCAGTTGGAGCTATGGGCCATGGGTCTCAGTTCATATCCACATGGATCTTGAACTTCATTCTTGTATGATGGTTGGGTTCCAAGAATGAGCATCCCCAAAGAACAAGGTGGAAGTGCAAGGTATTTTGGTGTTTGAGCATCAGAAGTCCCACTGCATCATTTCTGCCCTCCTCTGTTGGTTGAAGTAGTCACAAAGGCCTGTCTGGGATCAAGGGGAGGGGATATATACTCTGGATCGGAGTGAGGGGAGGTTCCAGAAGTATTGGGGGATGGAAAGTTTTGGGGAAGCCATCTTTGGAAAATACAGTCTGCTACATTATGTCTGTATGATTCAGACATGTACTTGTATTTGTAGTTCACTTTTAAAAGAATTTCTGCATAGTATTCCACTATGTGTGAGACTCCTATTTACTTACCTATTCTACTATTGATTTTTGAGTCATTTCCAGTTCTGGGCTATTATGAACAGTGCTGCTGTGAACATTCTTCTTGTACAAGTCTTTTGGTGGACAATGGCTGCCTTCTATCACTGTTGCTATCTCTTCAGTTATTTAAATTAAAAACATCCTGCAATTTTATTAGCTTTTTTCCTCCCTTTTCCCATCAGTTACTGTAGTCATATGTATTTTAATATATAAATGTTTCCTTTGTTGTTATTGTTAAGCGCTGTCGAGTCAGTTCTGACCCAAAGCAACCCTGAACAGGGTTTCCAAGGCTGTAAATCTTTACGGGAGCAGAAAGCCTCATCTTTCTCCCGCGGAGCAGCTGGCAGTTTCGAACTGCTGACCTTGTGGTTCGCAGCCTGATTCGTAACCACTACGCTACCAGAGCTCCTTAAATGTTTACTAGTATTTTAAAAATGTTTGAAAGAAATTATACAAAAGTATGTTCTTTTTATACAAACTTTAAATATTACAATTAAGATGAGCGTTTCCTCTGACAATCATGGGCTGTTTTCTCCCTATCTGAGGTAACACCTGTTGCCAGTCTGGTGGAGCATTTTTGATACATTTGTATACATATTTGTATGTTGTTTTTGTTATGTGCCGTGGAGTCAGTTCCGACTCATAGTGACCCTGTGCAGGGTTTCCGAGGTTGTAAATCTTTCTGGGAGCAGAAAGCTTCATCTTTCTCCCATGGAACAGCTGGTAGTTTCGAACTGCTGAGCCTGAGGTTAGCAGCCTGATTCATAACCACTATGCTACCAGAGCTCCTTACATATTTGGAACTGTAGAGCAATATGATGCCATTCATTGTATCAAACAAACACAACCCACACAAAAGATTTTGGCAAAAGGCAGGGTTGAGAAAGAACTAAACCCTTTCTCACTCTACACCTTGGAGTAAGCAGTTCTTCGTTTACTTTTTAAACTGCCAAATAATGTTCCATAGTGTTACCAGGCCACAGTTTAGTCATTTTCCTGTGGCAGAACATTTAAGGTGTGTCCTTTTATATTGTCTTATTGTTTTGTATGTGCCCCTAAGGCCCTGCACACTAAACATTACAGTACTTGATTGCCCTTGATGCCACCCTACAAAGGAAACAAGCCCTGAATCTGTGCCCCTCAACGCCCTTTTTCTTTTCCCCACAGAGACGTCTCCGAGAAGCTGTGCAGCTACTGGAGGATTATAAGCATGGAACCCTGCGCCCTGGGGTCACCAATGAACAGGTACTTCTGCTGAAGGTGGGAGTGATGGCAGATGGGGAGTGAAGAGGTGATGATAATTCTCAACCATTTCCCTGCAGCCAGAACCCCCTCTCTACCCTCAGTAGCATTTTACTGCTTCTGCTGTGTATCCCTGTGGACTTCGGGTTCTGTGGAAGAGATAGATCTTCTCCTGAAGCCTGCGTCTGGTGGAAAGCATAGGGGCTGATAAGGCTAGAGAGGGCCAAAGGCACTGGTGTACTGGAGGCCACACAGGCTTGCAAGAGCTGATGATATGTATCTCTTCCCACCTCTATATCTAGTGATACCATGGTGCTAACTTGAAATCAGCTATGATGGGAACATTTACACCATAAAAAAAGAAGCCATTGGTTAGTGTGCCAAGAAATTTATTTTTATTTGAACGTTTTTACTTTACAAATTTTTAAAGTTAAATTTTTCTTCAAGTGATACCTGTGTATAGTTCAAAAGGTCACATAGTACTAAAACGTGTAAATATATATATATATATCATTGTGTTCCATATTTTTTACTCAGTTCTCTTCACTCTTCCCCAATGGCATCTACTTTTAGCTGTTTTTGTTTGTTTTTTTTTTCCCAGTCAGAGATCTATATATGAAACAAATATGCTTACTTTCCCTGCTATTTCTCAATTTAGTCTTTTTCATGATCTATTATGGTAGTTGAGGATTCAGTTATCTTATTACCTACCCCTATAAACACACAGCCTTGGAAACCCTATAATGGGTCGCTATGAGTCAGAAGGAGTCCTGGTGTAGGGCTGTGGGTTAATGCACCAGACTGCAAAGCCATTTGAACGGCAGGGTCTGCGGTTCAAGCCCAATAGCTGCTCCTCGGTAACCCTATACAGGGTCGCTATGAGTTGGAGTCGACTTGACAACACTTAACAACGGCAACAACAGAAACACACTTCTCCCCATTCCTACCATTCTTCCAACAGACTTATGCTTTTTGAGTCTATGAATATTCAATATTATATTAGTATAATTATAAAAATGGTATTTACTAGAGAGTCACATTATTTTTCCTTTCCTTTCCTTTCCTACTTATGTTTCCTTTCTTTAACTTTGTGTTTTATGTGGAATTATAATTGCCTCATTCTTACTGCACCCTCCAGCAGCCTTCCGGTATTCTTGGTGCCTTCCTTGTCTTTCAGTTCCATCTTACCCCCTGAAAATGTTGGTGTTCCACCTCCCTCCAGCCCCAGACCTTCTTTTTTTGTGGTGTTCATCTTCATTTTGGTAGAGTACCTCTTCCAGTTGTTTCCTGAGAAAAGGATGAATGGGAAGAAAATGGTCAAGTCCTTTTATTTCTGAAAAATTGTAACTCTGTACTCATCCTTAATGAAATTTGACTGAGGGGAGAGTTCTAGGTTGACAATGATTTCCTTCGGCATTTTGAAGACATTTCTCTATTGTCTTCAGATATTCAACATAAAACCAGCTCCAGTTGTTGAGTCCGTTTCAACTCACAGCGGCCCAGGTGTAGCTGTGGAAAACTCTTGTGCCATTTCTATCCTTTTCCTTTACTGTGACGTGTTTTCTCTCCTTGGGAATTTTTACGTTCTTCTCTTTTTCTGTGAAGTTTATTTCTGAAATTCCAGTTCGTTATTTTGGGCTCTTGGTGCTTCCTTTCAATCTGAAGATTCCTGTTTCTTCAGCTCTGGTGATGTTTTGTATACTGTTGCTTTGATCATTTCTTCTCTATGTGGAACTTCTATTATAACCAAATAATGGACATCTTAGATTGACACTAATTTTCTTTGTCATTCTACTTGGCTTTGTAAGATACTTCCTTGAGTTTATTTTCAACATGTCTATTGAAGTTTTTTACTTCAGCTATGATATTTGTAATCTCCAAGAGCTCTTGTGCTTTCTTTTCCTTCATTCTTTTTAATAAAACCTATTCCTGTTTTATAAATACAGTTATCATCTCATCTCTCTATATTCTGGAGAACAAGTAGGGGAAGGAGACTACAGTTTTGATAGTCACTCTACAGACCTTCATTTAATTTCCTTGCTTTTAGCTCTCCCTCCCACCATCCTCCACTGTGGCTAGTGTTCCCAAATTTGGGGTCATTTGGGTTGTTTCTCTAGTAGCTTGATAAACTTTCAGCATCTAGGGACACAGGTGAACGTTGTAAGAATCTGGAAAGCTGTGCAGAAGAGAGCTAAAGATCCCAGTGCTGTTATACAGATTGGAACCAACTCCTGTGTTTAGGCCTATGGTTAACCCCTTTTTTCTATGGTACCTGGTCCCTAAGCCCTGCACTTTACCAAGTCAGGGAGGTGACAGACTAACTTGTGATAAAGTGCCCCTCTGCAGGCATTTAGGGACTGTTTTGTTCTCTCTAAGGATCCCTAGCGGCACAGCAGTTAAAGCACTCAGCTGTTAACTGAAAGGTCAGTGGTTCATGCCCACGTGCTGCTCCACAGGAGAATATATTATATAAATATTATAGCCTTGGAAACTGCATGGAGCAGTTTTACTCAGTTCTACAGGGTTGCTAGAAGGAGCTCTGGTAGCGTAGTGGTTATGAATTGGGCTGTGAACCTCAAGGTCAGCAGTTTGAAACTACCAGCTGTTCCGTAGGAGAAAGATGAGGCTTTCTGCTCCCATAAAGATTTACAGCCTCGGAAACCCTGTGCAGGGTCGCTATGGGTCAGAACGGACTCCACTGCACATAACCAACACCACCACTACCATAGGGTTGCTACGGTTCAGAATTGACTCAGTGACAATGGGTTTCGTTTTTGACTTTGACCTTTGCTGAATCAGTTGCTAGAACTACTCACTTTTCCATTCAAAACATGTTGTCCCTCCTCTGCTGTCATCCCCCCTGTGTTCACTGGTAACTCTGTGATGCACTGCCTGTGCTTTCTTCTAACACTTTGGGGCACAAAGCTGGGTTGGAGTCTCCCAGGCCCATGCTGAAGGTCTTTGCCACCAACACTACACACACTGGTGCTGGCTGGATTTTCCAAGGGCAGGTGATTTAACAATCAGCCCTCCTTCAGTCCAGCTCACCTCAGTCTGTATTTATGGAGCTCCTACAGGCCAGGCCTGGTGATACAGCCTGGGGGATAGAATAAGGAAGCAGCTGGTTGAGGTTCTGGCTTCATGGGCTCCCAGAAGCCAGGCAATGGCAGTAAAGAGACAAAATGTTATGGAAGGAGTTACCAGTGCAGGGAAAGGGATTTCTCACCTGAGAATTGAGGGATGAGAAGGGTACTGGTAAGGAGGAAGCTCTAGGAAAGATCAGTCCACGCAAGGAGACTCGTTGTGCCAGAGGGGGAGAGAAGAAGCTCCTCAGAGGCCGGAACAGGGTATGTACAGACGCATCTGCTCTGGTGTCCTTTGCAGTTGTGTGGATCAGCAGTCTGTGGTGGGGCCCGAGCCTGCCTGCCTGCCTGATGCCCTGGGCAGTGCTAGAGAACCACCCTCCACTCTTGTATTTCTATACTTTGTCACATAACCTGTTATAACATCTACCCAGGGGCTGTGTATAAATATAGTATTTTGCACCTAGTGGCTTTGGTTGTTCTGTTCGTGGATGACTGGTATTTCACCCAGAGATTGTGAACTTATTAAAAAGTTGATAAATTTCACTATGTGTACTTTTAGATGCCAGGCTTTTGATGGAATGGTTTGGCATGCATAGGGACAAGCGAAACAAAATGACCAGCTGTAGTCAAGTTGATTCTGATTTGTGTTGACCCCATGTGTTTCAGAACAGAAGTGAGCTCCATAGGGTTTTCAGCTGTGCTTCATAAGGTTTTGAGTTTCAGTGTTGTTGGAAGGGGGTTTCTCCTGAAGGGACTTGATTGCTTGCCTTGATGGCTGTGGTAGGTGTCTTCCAAATTTCTTGGCATAGATGAATGAGTGCCTCCAGTACCACATGGGTTTGTTGAGACATTTCAATTTGTACTCCATCAATTCCTGGTGCCTTGTTCTTTGCCAATGACTTCAATGCTCCTTGGACTTCTTCCTTCAGGATCCAGGGGATGGGTGGGGTTAAATTTGGAAGATTCCCTGTGGTGATGAGTAACCATTCATCAGATGTTTACTATATATGTGTCAGGTACTGTGCTAAGTACTAGATTATCTCAGTTAATCTTCACAGAAACTATTTTAGGCAGATACTCATATTAACCCTTCTGTTGGCAACAGTCCTGCTGTGGATAGGTGGATATATAGCAGGATAACTACTGGGCTGATAATCACAAGGTTGGTGGTTCAAACCCATCATCTGCTCCTTGGAAACCCTATACAGGGTTACCATGAATCAGAACAACATGGCACTTAACAACAACATCAGCAAGAAAAGTAGCCCTGGGTTAAGCACTCAGCTATTAACCAAAAGATTGACAGTTTGAACCCACTAGTCACTCCCCAGGAGATCTACTCTCATAAAGATTTACAGTGTAGGAAACTCTATGGCACATTTTTCTGTCCTCTAGGATCACCATGAGTTGGAATTGACTCCATAGCACACAACAATATAGGCAAAAACATTGAGGCTTCAGAAACTTGCCTATGGACACACAGTATGTGGTGGGACAGAGATCTGAAATGGCCTATTGGACCCCAACACCCACCTTCCACCCACCATCTGAAAGTGAATTTGGAAGGGAAGATGCTATTCTGTAGAGTGGAGTAATGTGCACAAAGATCAGGAAGCAGAAGTGGGGAGTGGTGTGTAGGCTGTGGTTGGAGGAGCTTGGCATTTGTGAAGGTCTCAAAGCCCTCCAGGCAGGGGCTGTTTGTTAAGCACCCAGTACATAAAGATATGTAGTAGATGAGCACCAAGTCAAGGGTATATGTGAGCTAGGGTCCACCTGGAGCCAGCTTGCAGCACAGGCAAGGAGGCCACACATGCAGTCATAAGTGGGTGCTTAGAGGGTGGGCTGGCAGCTAAGGTAATAGGAGTACAGAGGAGAGAGAGCCCTGTGAATGCAAGTGATGAGGAAAGGCTTCACAGA